TCCCATGGTCCACTGGACTATCCAGAATCTAAGAGAAGACCGGAGGCTACCAGGCAGTGGTTTTCAGTTAGAGTCCAGGCTTCCAAACTTAGTTGCAGCACCAAAACACACCACCTCACAGAGAACAGAAGCTACAATCAAGGGGGAGAGAGCGGGATTCTTTTTAAATAGGTTCAGAGTTTTCATTGGCACGAGAAAGTTCTAGAAATAGGGTTGATTGTTACACGATAATGAGTGTATTTTTAGTATGCAAATGGGTCTTACTTTGTATGAATGTACTTAATGTCAACAAACTGTACATTTGGAAATAATTGAACTATAGTTTACCATGAAACAAACTAAAGATGTTTTTTTTTTAATCTTAAAGAAAAAGATTATTAAAGACTTGTGGCCATTGGGGGAAAGGTACAGTTCATAAAACAGGTTGCTATGAATATGAGGCCCATTTAGACTATCGCTCAGCAGACAGCTGGCCAGGGTCATTGGTTAGCAAGGCCCTGTTAGGCAGAAGTTTCCAAGAGACCCAATCCTTCTTCTCTGGCCTCTTGGATTTTTCCTCTTCCTCAACTATTCAGAGCCCTAACTGGACATTTTATTTTATATTGGCACACACCCATGTAAAACAAACAAAACACACAGGATGGAGGGGGATGATGAGGTCAAGGCTCATTTCAGACTTAAAACAAACAGCCTAGGAAGCACAAGAGACCACGGTTTGATTTGGACAAGTTCAGCTGTGCAAGTAAGTGTCAGACAAGCCAATTGTTTCCAGATCTCAACAGGCCAGGGATGGAGAGAGCAAACGGCACCATTTATCAGGGTGAGTTCACACAGGGTGGAGTCGAAGTTAAGGGGAATGATGAGGAAAAGAAGAGGAGCTAAAGTCCCTTTTCGGTTAAGCTGTCACTGAGAAAGTCCATAGTGTCATAAAACCCTGTTGGATGCTGATTAGACTGTGGTTTGGAGCAGGGAAAGAAACAGATTACCCAGGCAGCAGCAGAGGAGCTGACAAAGGATGACTTTAGTGCCAGTGGCGACACAATGCCTCTATGCCTCCCAATAGAGCTGAGCAGAAAGGCTGGAACAAAAGAATCACAGAGGTCACACAGCCAGTTATTGAGTGGGTCATAGGTTGCTCAGGTATGACATCCTAGCAGGGATGAAGAAACCACAGGGAACATGGGTCTCTGGCATTCTTGATGGCCACTGAAAGAAGACAGACCTAGGTGGCAGGCATATGTTTTTTTATGAGCTCTTCTCAGAAGCTAGGGCACCAGGGCAACAAAAGCCTTAGACAGTATCAGGTGTGAAGCCAGGCGTGCTGGCCTAACCCTTTGATGCCAGAAGCAGATGCATCAGAGTTTGAGGCCAGCCTGGTCTTTGGAGCGAGTTCCAGGACAGCCAGGGCTATGCAAAACAAGAAAAACAAAACAAAAAGGAAAAGAAGGAAGAAAGAAAGAAAAAAGGAAGGAAGGAAGGAAGGAAGGAAGGGAGGGAGGGAGGAAGGAAGGAAGGAAGGAAGGAAGGAAGGAAGGAAGGAGGAAGAAAAACAAAGTACCAGGTGTTGCTGGCGCTAGATGAATCCATCAAGCCCCCTTGTTCAGAGCAACAGCTGCGGGATGAGCCAGATGTGCTACTTGTAAAGTCGACTCTTCCCATTGGTGATCTAGAAACACAAGAACAGCTTCCTCCCCTAGCGTGGAGCCAAGCGGTTGGCCACCAATTTGGACGACTCCACTCTTAACACAAGACAACTGTGTCCATTCAAAGCCTGTGTGCCTGAATGTCTAAGGCTTTGAAATGTGCACTGGAACACTACGCACTATAGGAGCCATGACTGGAGAAAGAGAAGACAAGAATAAGAATGACAGTATCCATCAATTGATATGACACTCACAAAATCCCAAGTGTGACAAAGGGATAAAACTCAAAAGGAGCCCCAGCGTTCAGAAGAGCTGGGGGAAACAAAGTTGAGATGGCTCCCGGAGAGCCAAGCTTTACATAAAGAAGTGTGAATGCTTGTGACATTAATCCGGTAAAGCTGATGCTGGGCACAACTAATCCTTAAAAAGTGTATTTTTCACTACTCCAAAGGATGAGAATAAAATAAAATAAAAAAAACCTTTACTTGTGTCAGTCTTATTTTCTTCCTTTTAGACTTTGTTCCTTTAGCTGCCAAATTCCCTTCATGACTTTTACAAGGAGATTCTAATTAGCTGTGCTAAATTTATTTTAACTATGTGCCCCATATACAATCAAAATGAGAGAGCAACAGAAAAGGAGCCCACCTACCCACCCCAAACACACACATTCTCATATTCAATGGGCCTACTTTTCACATCTAGTCCTAACTATTTGTGTTCTCTCTCTCTCTCTCTCTCTCTCTCTCTCTCTCTCTCTCTCTCTCATTACCAGGCACCCTCCATGTTTCCTTTTTCTGCCCTCTTGATAGTTGTTTTGCACCCTCTTTATTTGGAGAGTTGAACGGGACACTCTCTAAGATCCTTTTCAACCCAAAGTTCCCATGAGTCTATGAGGAACATGGGAGTTCTGAGAAAGAGCAAGGGGCCAAGCAAACGGAACCCTCTACCCAGTGCTGGCACGAGAGCACGAGAGCTGCCATCTCCTCCCTGTGACATCACAAGTACTGTGGACGTGATTGGCATCAAGAAGGGGAGCGGGAACAACACAGCTGAGATTTTGTCTCTTATAAAAAACACCACAAACACAGCTTCAAAACATGCCTGCCACTGTCCTTCCTGCTCCATTTCTGACCTTGTCCCTGTGGCCCTTCCATTGAGGAACTGTAGCGATTACCATCTGCCTGCTGTTGTGCACATCTCCCAGTGTGGTGCTGTGAGGGTCAAGTAATTAAGCCCTGCAATACCACTTTGAAGGATGCACAATAGGACACTCCGGCTGCCAGAAAGAATTCACACTACTCCCGGAGGCCTGACTCCAGGTGGAGGCTGCAGCACATGTCACCCTGGGCTGGTATATTGTCACACTTGGACAAAGGACACTGGAGTCAAAGGGCAGCTTAAGCCACATGCCCAATATGAAGCTGAGAGGAATTCTTGGGAGTCATTCTTGCTGAGAATTGCCAACTGGTCTGAATAACTTCCTTCCCGTCCTTCCCCCAGATTGGCTCTTTCCTGACTGCTCCCTGCTGAAACGATACAGTACTTACATCTGCTAATGGACAACAGCCCTTGCCCTGTTTCTCTGCCTTCACACCCCCTTGATGTGGGCTTTTCTTCTTTTCTTTTCTTTTTTTAAGCTAGTTTGTTTTTCCAATTTGGGATTTGAGGCTTGTTTTTGTTTGGTTTGGTTTTCAGAAACTGGGTCTTCTTGTGTAGCCCAGGCTGGCCTTGAACATTCAATTTCCCTGCCTCTGCCTCCTGCCTGCCAGAATCACAGGTGAACTACTATGCTGGCAACATCTTTTTCCTAGCATAAACTAGATAGGATCACTTTTTCCCAAGCCCCTTTTTTTTTTTTTTTTTTTTTTTTTTTTTCCCCTATTCTTTATCTAATTCCTTACTTTGCCTGAGGCTTCCTTGCAATATTTAGCAACTTTCTGGCCACTCTTGCCCAAGAGGCTGCTCCACCCACATAAAGCTGGAGAAGCCAGTGGCCTGGGGTGTGTTGTATGGTTCAGAAGTCACCTTTATCTTAGTGAAAACAGCTCTCTGCACACCTGGGTTTTCTACAGATGGGATCGTAATCCACATATACCATTGCCAATATGGTCTTCATAAAATCTTTTGCAAGCATGTTAGCTATGACATGTTTTAGGAACTACTAGAAGCTGGGCTCCTGAGTTTAGCATACTGTCATTTGGAAAGTGGAAGCTTTCCTGAGGATCTGGCAGCCTCGTTCAGTGACTTGTAATGAAGTTGTTGAAAAAGACTTGAAAGTTGATTGATAGAATTAAGAATAAAAACTGTGAGGAATCCGTTAATTGGATAAAGCCTACATGTTAATGTGTTTTAAAATGATAATTTTTTCCATTTATATGCAGAGTAAACACATAAACCATTCAAGAAGGGCCTTGCATCTGTGTTTGATGTCTGGTGTATGAACCTGTGTTGTGTTTCTAGCACAAGTTGACCTGTGTTCTGAATGAATGAAATATAACCATGTCAACCACTGAATAGACAGTTTATGTAATTAATGCATGACTCCCTCTACTCTTTTCAAGCCTTGTGTCGTCATGCTAGTCTCTGAGGCACCCTGGTGAACAAGCATGCCTGTATCTCGGCAGTCCACTGACTGCATATCTGTTTTCTCCTGTGCTTTTATGTAATTCACAAACCGTACAAAGACATACTTTTGATTAAAGATATGTCAACAAATGTGGCTTCAATCTCATAAATACAGAACTCAATCTAACATGTAAACTTTATAAAGGAAGAGAAAATTATAATAACAATCAATGTTGCTTATCCAATATCACCTAAATGTGGAAAAAGCAGTCTGAACTCATGCATGTTATATAGGGTTATAAGTTAATGCCACACCTCAGAAGGACAACTGGACACTGCCCTTTATACTAAGAGGAGTATAAGCTGTGAATTACTCTTCCAGAAAATTCTCCAATAGATATATGTATGTTTGCCTACAGAACACTGCACAAGGCTATTGTTGATTTGTGGTAGAAAAGAGAAAAGAAAAGAAAAGAAAAGAAACAACCTAAATAGTGACCAGGAGAGGACTGGTTTAATCCATTGTGATATCTGAATACAAAGTGATGCTTTGCAACAATTTTTAAAGATTATATTTATTATTTTGTGAGTGAGTGAGTGTGTGTGTGTGAGAGAGAGAGAGAGAGAGAGAGAAAGAGAGAGAGAGAGAGAGAGGGAGGG